TAAAAAGAAGAAGGCTTTAGAACTGGTATGCCATGTCTTTGGAATGGGCAGATGCTGCTCAGGACATCCCATCATAGGGTTCCAGAGAACCTTGAACACAGCCTGATGAAGAGAATCCCAGCAATCCAGGAAAGAACAATTTTACTTGATATTTTTATTCACTTAACAGAAACATTCACTTATCAGATATCAATGAAGTGCAATTTACATACCTTAGAGGCAAATTAACATATGTAAATTCATATTTTAAGATTTTGGATTTTTTTTTACAAATATTACAAATGTACATCCATTGGTACAATATTGCCATTCAGTCATGCTTTTTATGTACATACCTTCAATTAAGAATTATTTATTAACTTCATTTTGTTTAAAAAATGTGGAAAATTAACTGGGCACTGCTGGGAAAGATTTTTTTAAATGGATGCATGTACTGTAGAGTGATAGAAATCTAGTGCCTGTGGGAAAAGAGACACAAGAATCCAGATAACTTTATTTTTAAAGGATGCTTAACTTCTCCAATTTTTTAAAATGATGAGTCAGGAAATAAAGTATTTCTTCCTCAAGGTTTGATAGAGCGTACATTTCCCTGCAGGGATGATATCGTTTGATCTGAATTTCTAGAGATGTCGCCATCTTTGTTCCTTTTGGGAGGTCAGACTGAATGGGCACGTTCCAGGAGTCCAAAAAATCCCTGTAGTCAAGCTATCACATGAACACATCAGGAAGGCTACCGCTGAGCATAAATCTACTACACAGATCAGCCCAGGGGCAGAGCATGCCTGAGACTTCACTCCTCTCAGGGACATCAGGGAATCGGAACAAAGGAAGCACACATCTATGGGTAGAGAAGAGCAGACAATATGAGGGGGGAAGAAGAAGGAGGAAAAAAAATAAGAAAGGAGCCCAAACTGTATTAGAGAAGGCACCAGCAAAGAAGGTATGACATATTTTGCTGGGTGCTAAGTGAGACTCTTGCCATAAGAGGTGGTCGTGGTAGTCAAATGGCAGTATGATAAAATGAAAGACTTTTTCTAACTTTCCTTTGGTCATTACTAGAAAGTGATATTTATTGTATTTTGGGCCAATTACATTATTTCATTAGAATGGCTTCTTAAAAAATAAGTATATAAGTTTTTCTAAATTAAAAATGTCTATTATAGTTAAATTTCAATTGTCCTCTTAATTTTTTAAAACAAGATACTATAGACTCATCTTGAAATTTATAATCTAAAAATAAGATCTCATCAAAATACTCTAACTACTCTATTCTGGGAATTGATAGACTATGTATTTACTATTTATGGCTCTCCAGATACGGTAAACACTGTACCGAAAAAACCCACTTAACTTTATTGATAGGAACTGTTTCTCTTGAAAAGGAAATTATATGCAAAAATATGAGCTATGCATTTGTTTGAAAAGTAACTCAGTTTGACATTTCTGAGGAATAAGACATCACAAAATCAGTAGTGGAATGAAAGATATACACAGATTGAAAGAGAATCACAGGAATAGAAAAGGAAACAATAGTTATAGACTTGCAAATACTTTTGTTGCCAAAAACAAGATTCAAAGAAATCCTAAATTCAATAACTTGATATTATACACTGTTATGAAACCTTGTGCTGGAGGTGGATGAGCAGAATGCTTATGGCCCTTTCCCCTGGACTTGGTCCTATGAAAAGGCTCACAAATAATCAGACACTGACTTTTTTGACTAAAAACCAGGCAGGAAACCTTAAATTGCTTATCTCCACAGTAGGAAAGCAATGTGTATTTTGGAGGCAGATAAAGATGATGCTGATTTTATTTAGACTTCAGTAGTGGGACTAAATAGGAATGAACATAGAATACAGAAAATTTGGAAAGAAAAGACTTTGAGCCATTTGTGATGAAGCATAAAGATGGGTTGCTAGTTTTGAGAGCAGTCAAGGTGACTTAGATGCCTGGATGGTCCCTAACTTTGTGTTCTACCCATCTTCATTTTTTCTTTGCTTGGTTATATATATGTATTTTTTCAGGGTAACTAAAATTCACACATCACCTATTTGTGTTTTATTTACCTTACAGAAAGCTCGGGTGGGGAGGTGTATGTGAGTTATTCCCAAGACTAAGTGAAAAATGCAGGCTAGACCTAGTCTCAGATACTGTTGGGTTGTTCTTCGGATCACTGCAGTGAGAGTAACATCCTTCAGCTTCCACTGTTGGCCTTTTAGTCTCAGTGCTTACATGACTGGTCTGTCCCTGGCACACCAGACACTGCTTCAGAATCCTGTGACGGCCACTTCACAGCTGGGTGAGGCGCCTGCAAGTCGTGTGGCACAGTCTGGCAATGGTGTGCAGCCCTGACTTGAATACCTGGTGGCTTCAGAGAGTAAATGTATCCAGCCTTTTCACTCTCTCTGCTTCACTGCCCTCTGTTTTTCACATTGCTTGAAGGCTGTCTGGCTCCCCGGTATATGGCTCACATTGGGTTGTGTCAGCATTCCGTCTCCTTTCACTGTACAGAGCCTGGGATTATCCTCTCCCAACTTCCCGCTTCATTTCGCATTCACCCTGACAAGCGTCTTCCAAGATATTCAAGTATTTCCAAGAAAATCAAGTATTTTACAAGTACCTTCTTGGAAAAGCCCCAGCTTCTCAAACTTACTTTTGGAAGCATTAAAACTCTTCCCTTGCTATGGACCTCTGAAGAGCTTTCACCTCTCTGCCCTGATGACTTAGTATGAATCCCTATGGTGGTATTCAGGGGTAGAAGGGAGTCAACCAGTGGCCTTCCTCAGAAGGAGAAATTCACATTTTAGTAAAGTTTGGGTTGTTTTTTGAGCCAGTGCCTTAGAAAAGGAGTCATGACCTGCAATTCAGGCATGTGGAATGTTCCTTATTGGAACAGCGATTGCTTTCCATGGCTCTTGAATCAGATCAGATGGGTGGCACCCACTGAGCCTGTTTGTGGTATGCCCCATCCTGCCTTTTTCCACTACAGTTAAGGCCCGCTGCTGATACTAGTCTCATTATAGGACTAACATTGCTTGGAGCACATTGATAGAAAACATCAGACATTCTACAAGTCACAGCTTGGAATATGAGTAATTTGAGGTTTGGGTCCGAGATTTCAACCATGAATCCTAAGTGCCTCTAGACTTTCAGAGAAGGGTTCCAGGTATCTGATGGTGAGGAACAGTGTTTGTGCCACAACTCAGCTCATGAGATATCCTAGTTCTCTAAGATTTCTCCTAGTGATACTTCGAGTTATCAGAAATTTATATAAAAAACTGGCCCTTTGATCCTAACCTCTACACTGATTTAAGATTTCATTTTACTCCCTCGATTTTTATGAAAGGCTAATATGAATTACCTATTTGTAAAAACATTTTCTTGTCTTTCAAAACTTTATCTCAAAGGAGTTACTAAAGCAACCATTTCCTTTTCTAAAAGGACTCCAGTGATAAATTTGACCTCATATTAAATCCCAGGAAGAGTTTCTATTGTCATACTAATATGGCTACTTCATAGTTTTTATATCAAATTGCTACAACACAAGTTGTTTCATTTTGCCTCGTTGTTACCATATCTGTGTTTATACTAGAATATATACAGCATGATGTAATGAGTGCATTTCTTGGGGAGTAGTCAGCTGGAATTCTATGCTAGATGCCCATACTCCAGGTGAGGCCATTTCTGTGATTTGTTATTTAGCATAATGCATTTCAGATAGAGGCTTTTTAATTGTAGAAATTAGAGACTTGTTACCTACGATGACAAATGTTAGAAATGAGTTCTCTGAGGTAATGTTAAAATAATTCCAGGAATGTGGGCTGACTAAAGATATGTTAGAGAAGTGACTTTCTCTTGCATGAATCAGGTACCTCTTCCCTTAGTAATGATGCTGTGAGCTAAATCCCAAAGGATCCTGTGTCATAGCGAGTTGTGAACTCTGTATGATGCCTGTTATAGAGATGATAGAATCCTGCTTCTTGTATTTTGGCAACTGTTGTGAGTTAATTCTTCTTTTTTTTTTTTGATCATGCAACATGATTATTGGAAAACCTAAAAAGAGTAGAGAGCTGTTAGTTCCACAAGTCTAAGTTAAACACTGTTTAGAATGGTTGTATAAGTGTGTGTGTATTTGCTTTCTAATAAAATTTAGTTTAAAAGTCAGAATTTGGTCTTAGACACAGTTTCCTTATTTCATGGTAGGGAAGTTGTAGGGTAGAATTACAAACTTACAGATTTTCAATGGCTATCGTGATCTACCAAAAGAAGCTAAGAGCTGTGATCTATTGAATAGGCATGGGCTGATCTGCAACACTCACTTGGTAGGACGTCTAAAAGTAGCTTCCTTACATTATAAATTGTAACTCCTCGGTGCCTTGGGCAACGATTCCTTTGCACTGCAAGAATGTTTGTCATCCTTCTGGTGCTATCTTAGTTGTTCTTTAAAAGTGCACATCTGAAATCCTTTTTGAAAGGAGGTGGTGAGAGCTAAAGAAATAATGAAAACAATAGGACATACCTATTTCTTTGGGGGAGCCAATTGCTTTTCTCTTCATTTGTGGCTTATCTTGAAGTGTCACATAAACATGTGCTACCGAGAATTGAACCATGCCAGAGGGCTCATGGCAAGCGAAGGAAGCTTAGGGAATGGTACGTTAGAGGCTCACTTCTAACATTAGGCTTCAGTACTATTTCCCAAGCCCACACCTAAGCTCCTCTCTCCTGAAGAGATGCTATCATTTCGCACCACCAAGAAGAGAGGGAGCTAGTGCAACAACACTTGTAACTCTAGATATGGAGGACAGAATTCTTGGGACTAGCAACCTGGGCAGAAGTGTGTCCCGAATTCAAATCTAGTTGCTCATCCAAACATTGACACTCATGTGTTTTCAGAATGCTGAAGGAAAACAAACGCTGAGAACTGATAGATAGATACCTCACATTGCTCCACCCACACGGCCATGTTTCACTCTGGTCCAATAGCAAAGGAGTCTAGTGACTTAAAGAGTTAGTAGAAACTGATCTTGTTCTGGTGGCTTCCTCACCCAGGTGCCTAGACCAGCTTTCTGAAAAGCCTTAAACAGCTGCTGTTTAACGGACTGGTAGGTGTGAGCCCCCAGCTTGGCCTCACAGTACATGGATGGCGTGTCTCCATGGTTTGGGATCCGTGTGCTCAGCTGTGGACAGGAAAGAGAAAGAGCAAATCAACCACCAGAGAAACAGGAGCTTCACTGAGGTGTTTAGCAAGCAAAACACCAGCTCTTGGTCTTGGTCTTTGCTTCTCTTTCTCTCTTCCCTTAAAGCAAAAAAGCACCATGATAGAGAACATCTGTATTGGCAGTTACCTGAGTTTTATTAGAAAATTCTATGGAAAACCCAGTTATTAGGAAACTTTTCTCATCAGAAGTACAAATGATTAACAAACATATAACATGTAACTTGCTTGTTATTAAAAATCTAAACACTGTTTTTTTAAAAGGATTTTTAAAAAGGATTGGGGACTCAAAATGGGGGGTGGCAAGGCAAGGATGATGTATGCACTAACAACATCACGGTAGGCAGGAAAGAGGAAGGGCTTTGAGTTATGTTGTTAGTCACCCAGGGAGAAAGATAACAATAGGATGTGTTAGCTGGGGACAGTGGTCCTCCTGGGCTAAGTGGATGCTGGGATCCCTTATTTTTTTCATTGTGACCTTGCCTTCTTCAAACACTTTCTTGCTTTGTTTCCCAAATGCTCCAGGCTTTTGTCCAGGACACTATTCGTAAACAGATCAACTCAGTTCTGTTCCTCCAACAGGGCTGCTACAGTCACCTAAAGCAAGAAGACCCTGCTAATATCCCTGCCCCTTAAGAGACCTTGACATCCCTGTTCAGCAGGAAGTAGAAAGTAGATAGAGGAACATCCTGTGCCCCATTCCCTTTTATATATATAAAAGGAAGGACTGTTAGGGTAATAAAAGGAAGCCATGTTAGAACTGGACCCCCTCCCCCTTGAAAGTGACTTACTGAAAACTCTCCATCTGGCCCTACAGAAAAATAGACATTCACCTTCAGTCATTTACTAGAAACTCCACCACCTGGCCCAGAAGGAACGACCCACCCTTAAACCATATCTCAGGAGGGTCAGAAGGGATATTGAGGATTTTCTCACCCAGTGACCTTCCTGAGACTTCCCCACCCACCCTCCTTTATCCATCCCCAGTCTGAAAGCAGCTGTGGACTCCAGCTCTCTTGCTGGGATCCCTTCTGCAGGGCTTCTGAACAATAAACTCTGTGCTAGCATAAAAAACAAAAGGAAGTGTTCTGTGTCAGGCTTTTGAGTTATAATAAACAAAACTTTGGAGCCAATATAAGGCAGTGATCAAATATGGCTTCAATCCCCCAAACAGTGTGTGTGTGTGTGTGTGTGTGTGTGTGTGTGTATGTGTGTGTAACTGGGAGGATGGAGGGTTGGCTGGGAGTGGGAGTTCAAGATCTCACCACAGGGTCTTCTGAGAGTTTGTGGATCAACCACACCACTCACTGGTCAATGCTCCCTCAAGCAAGTTTAAAACAAGAGGCTCTGTTTGTTTAGCAAGACAAACTCAGTGCCTCCCTGACCTTCTAGTCTTTGGAATAAGTGAGACAGGGAAAAGTGCCCAGAGTAGACAGCATGGAGGCTGAGCTCTCTGGCAGAGCTGTAGGATGGTCTGGCCACAGACCCATGTCTATCATGGCTATGGTAGAGACAGAAGTCACTGCCAAGCTCAGAGCTAAATGTGCAGTTTTCAGTGTTCTCTAAGTTGACAAAAATGTTTAAGTGTAGGTTTGTCTATCCTGTTCTTCTACTGGATAGACTACAACCACCCCACTATTCTTAGATTTGGAATCATTGCCTGGGTTAAAAAAAAAGTACAGAAAAATGAGCAAAACTTTTTTTATTTGTTGGCTTATTTTTCAGTTGTCTGTTCTTTTTTGGTTATGTGCTTTTGGAGCACATAAAAATCTGTATTTCAATGAAAAAAACCCTCAAGTGTAGCTATTATCTGTATTGACAGAGAGAAAGCAGGTTCTGAATCATTGCTATAATGAAAATGGGTAGGTTTATTCCCTCTAAAATCAGGAACGAGACAAGGGTGCCCACTATCTCCACTCCTATTCAACATAGTACTGGAATTCCTAGCCAAAGCAATTAGGCAAAAAGAAATAAAAGGAATACAAATAGGTAAAGAAACTGTCAAAATATCCCTATTTGCAGATGACATGATCCTATACCTTAAAGACCCAAAAAACTCTACTCAAAAGCTCCTAGACACCATCAACAGCTATAGCAAGGTAGCAGGATATAAAATCAACATAGAAAAATCATTAGCGTAAACTAGTACAACCACTCTGGAAAAAAAATTTGGAGGCTACTTAAAAAGCTAGACATTGATCTACCATTTGATCCAGCAATCCCACTCTTGGGGATATACCCAAAAGACTGTGACACAGGTTACTCCAGAGGCACCTGCACACCCATGTTTATTGCAGCACTATTCACAATAGCCAAGTTATGGAAACAGCCAAGATGCCCCACCCCTGACGAATGGATTAAGAAAATGTGGTATCTATACACAGTGGAATTCTATGCAGCCATGAAGAAGAACGAAATGTTATCATTCGCTGGTAAATGGATGGAATTGGAGAACATCATTCTGAGTGAGGTTAGCCTGGCCCAAAAGACCCAAAATCGTATGTTCTCCCTCATATGTGGACATTAGATCAAGGGCAAACACAACAAGGGGATTGGACTTTGAGCACATGATAAAAGCGAGAGCACATAAGGGAGGGGTGAGGATAGGTAAGACACCTAAAAAATTAGCTAGCATTTGTTGCCCTTAACACAGGGTAACTAAAGCAGATACCTTAAAGCAACTGAGGCCAATAGGAGAAGGGGACCAGGAACTAGAGAAAAGGTTAGATCAAAAAGAATTAACCTAGAAGGTAACACACATGCACAGGAAATCAATGTGAGTCAATGCCCTGTATAGCTATCCTACCAAAAACCCTTGTTCCTTCCTATTGTTGCTTATACTCTCTCTTCAACAAAATCAGAGATAAGGGCAAAATAGTTTCTGCCTGGTAGTGAGGGGAAAAGGAAGGGAGGAAGGGGCTAGAAATGACCCAAACATTGTATGCACATATGAATAAAAGAAAAAAAAGAAAATGGGTAGGCTTTAGGGTAAAGGAGAAATTCTAACCCCTACATTCACTACTGTGAAATTTGGGAGCAATTATCTAGCTTTTCTGAGCAGTCTTGTCCTTATATCTGAACTTGAAATAATGTGGGATTCAGATTTTCTGTGTACTTTTCTTAGGACACCCAGGGTAAAGCCACTGGCATAGTGCTCGGCTACACGAGGTGTTCACCCATAAGCTCTTTTCCTGCTTGACTTCCTAGAGCCCCACTAACCAAGTCCGGTGCTGCTGGTGTGAGGACCACACCACGCAGCAGTCTTAAGTCTGCAGGGAAATGCCTGGGAAGTTGGAGAAGAGGATTTTTTTTGGAGGGGGGGTTTGGTAGGAGGGTTGAGCTCAGGCCCTTGGGCTTGCTAGGCAGGTGCTGCTTCTTGAGCCGGTAGCCCTAGGAATTATTTTTTATGTCTTGTCTTACCCCCACCACGGACCAAATGATGCCCTAATTTCCAGCCCAAGTCTAGCCGCAGGCAGCCAGCTCTCCCTCAGAAAGGACAGATGGGACCTACCATACCAAACAGCCGCGCCCACCGGGCGGAGAACGTGTGCTTGCAGAGCCGGGACGACCCACCGCAGCTCCTCTTCCCGGTCGTGGCATTAATGATCTCCAGGTCCGCGTTGCCCACGACCCAGTTCAGGCTGAAGTGGGGAGACTTTCCCGGCTGCCGGGCCTCCGCATTACTCACTCCTGTCAAGAGAGAAATAGAGAGCAGCCAAGCATTAACAGTCCTGCTCCAAACAGGGCTCCCGTGAGAGCAGATAATGGAAAAAAACCCTGCGTTTGAGCTGGGATGATATATTCACATACATGTCATCCAGCCTTCTATCTTCAACATAGTCATGTTGAAGTCATTGTTTTACTTGTAGGGATGAAGGTTGAAAATCAAGTACAACCTTGATGACAGCCTCATCACTGGTACCTGTTTTTAACCTTTAATTTAAAGGATTTTATGGGCAGTCATATTCAAAGAGCTCAGCCCAGATTTTACCCTGTCGATTAATATTTGTTGAATGAATTAATGAACAAACAGAGCCATGTAAAAACGATCTAAGAATGTGTATTTATTGGGCACCCATTGGATGCCCAGCCCCACTCAAGGCAAATAATTTCAGACAGATCTTAGCTTTATAGTTTAGTTGATTGAGAAAAAAAAAAACCCTAATATAAATAAGAGAGATATAGATGTACGATAATTAATCAAGCAATGTTAGCTACAAACAGCACTGGCTATTTGCACTATGCAGTGCAAAATGAAAATGGGAGGCCCTCTGTAGGAAAGTTATTAAGAATTTCAAGAGTTCAACAGAACATTAAACTAAACACAGGATTTCTTTTTTTTTTTTTAATGAATCTTAGTTTTTATTTTTATTTATTTATTTATTTTTGTATTGTATTTTTTTTCCCTTTTTCTTTTATTATTCATATGTGCATACAAGGCTTGGTTCATTTCTCCCCCCTGCCTCCATCCCCTCCCTTACCACCCACTCCGCCCCCTTCCTCTCCCCCCCCAATACCCAGCAGAAACTATTTTGCTCTTATCTCTAATTTTGTTGTAGAGAGAGTATAAGCAATAATGGGAAGGAACAAGGGTTTTTGCTGGTTGAGATAAGGATAGCTATACAGGGCATTGACTCACATTGATTTCCTGTGCATGGGTGTTACCTTCTAGGTTAATTCTTCTTGATCTAACCTTTTCTCTAGTACCTGTTCCCCTTCTCCTATTGGCCTCAGTTGCTTTTAAGGTATCTGCTTTAGTTTCTCTGCGTTAAGGGCAACAAATGCTAGCTAGTTTTTTAGGTGTCTTACCTATCCTCACCCCTTCCTTGTGTGCTCTCGCTTTTATCATGTGCTCATAGTCCAATCCCCTTAAACACAGGATTTCTAAGCTCGGGGTCCTGTGCGACTGGGTGGGTTGCATGTCCATGAAGTGGTCTTACCCAGCAAGCATCCAGAATTCTCAGGGAAGTCCTTAATTCACAGTGGGTCTCCCCTTGTTAGATTGTACGCTTGACTTTCACTTGAGGCTCTCAATCCCCACAGCTAAAACTCCACACAGCAGAGCACAAGGAGAAGGCAGAGTCAGGGGGTTGGCAATGCTTTCCAGCTTCAAATGTCATCTCCAGCCTCAACTCCTGCTCAGTCCCCTCCCAACACTCCTCATTCCGATCAGAACTTCCTGGAGATGCTGGGGGAGATGTCTGGTAAACTTCAGTGAGCACCTCCGAAGTCCCTTCTGTCCTGTGCCACCAACTGGATGATCCACAAGCAAGAGTCTGGTACTACTTTGCCTTCCCAACTTGTTGGCTGTCTGCTTCCCTTCTTGAAGGTTATGCTGATGAATCTGTTGACCTTTGGGGAGAGGCCATTGAAGAAAGATACGCTACGGTGGTTGGAGGAATGACACCCAAGTGAGTACAGTCGATCGTTTCAATAGCTCTCATGTTTTGGACTCCTGGCAACCCCACATATGATACATGCTAGATGCTGCCCTTATAAGTTGTAGGGGGCATGCCCAAGGGCTCAGTCGCCATTCAAAATCTCATGGTCCAATCACAATAGTAAGCAGACAAGGAATTCAGTCTGTGGTCTGTTCATTTTAATCATATTCTGGGATATTTAGTGTATGATCCAAAACCCTTCATCAGATGCCTCCTACTGGTGCCTCTTGAACCTCTCACCTGCCATGGCTCCCATAGGCTCTCTTATATCACTTTCCCAGAATACAGCCCAGTTGACCTCTCTCCCCCCTTGATCAGTTCCACCTTGTGAAGGTCAACCCTGATCCTCCAGTCCTGCTTGCATTCTTCTTCTTTTCTTTTCTTTTTTTTTTTTCTTGTGGTATTGGGGTTTGAACTCAGGGCCTACACCTTGAGCCACTCCACCAGCCCTTTATTTTGAAGGAGTTTTTTTTTTTGAAATAGGGTCTATTTGCTCTGGGCTGGCTTCCAGCCTTTATCCTCCTGATCTGTGCCTCCTGAGTAGCTAGGATTACAGGCATGAGCCACTGGCACCTGGCTTCCTGCTTGCATTCTTATTCTGCCTTCTAAATTCCTGCTCTTTGCAGTTGGCACGAGTGACAGGAACCTGTCAAAGGTTCTCAGAGGTCTAGCCATGTATCATGTAAGCATGAGGATCCTGGAGAGAAGCACCAGAAAATTCAGGAAATGCAATGCATCAGACCTCAGGATGGCTACTAAGGGAACTTGACACTCAATGTTGGTGGAGAAGCCCAGGCTTCTAGAAGCAGGTCAGGTGCAAAGCATTGACTGGCTGAGCATATCTCGAGCCCTGGGATCTGCAGCAAGCTCCTGGGGAGAGATCTGTCCCCATGCTGAGTAAAATACCACACAAGGTAACTTTCTGGAGGCAGCCTGCTTTAAAATTCAGGAGATGATGCACTCGACTCTGAGTTGTGCAGCCATAGACCCCAGGATCCTCCTTGCTCCCAGCTTCACCCCAAATCCAGGGCTTCTTGGATAGAACCGAGGCTCACTCTAAGTACACTGTGTCTGAGTTTGCTGTCTGCCACTTACACAGCTCAGCTCCAGACTGAAAGTCACCCTGTGACCTTCTTCTGGTCACAGATGGGCAGTGTTGGACATTCAGGCTAATTCCACTCCGTTCATGTCAGCTCTTTTTCCTAGAATTGATTTGCTGTGACAGCTGCCCACCCCTGAGAGCTGGACAGGGGGGACAATCTGGCCCATTGGCAGCCATGGGCTGTCCTACTGGGCAGGGACCGTCTTAGCAGGAGGAGGCAGCTGCTGAGGTCAGGGATGACTGGGTACAAAAGGAGGTGGCCACCACTTGGGATATGCATGCAGCCAGGCTTGGCAGTGAGACAACCTCCTTCTCCTCTTTTCCCCCTCTTTCTCTTTTTCATTCCTCTAGTCTCTACAATGGTCAGGACTGACCACCATGGTGCAGAACTGGGTCTTCTCCGAAGTCCTAACCTCTGAACTCAGAGTAAAGCCTTGGAATGCCAATATGTAGCCTTCCTGGTTCCTGACAGGGTGTTCCACTCCTGATCTCTTCCCATCATCTCTTTACTGGGGACAGTGTTGCAATTTTGCTTCTGGCTTAGGCATCAAGACACCTGCCTGGGTGAGGCTCAGCTGCAGTCCACTGGGCTCTCCTCCCAAGGCTTGGCTGCCAGCCTTGCTGGGGCCCAGACAGTGCTGGGAAGGCAGCCGTGAGGGTGCTCCTGTTAACCTGGCACACTCTGCTCTGCACATGGGGGATGCAGGGGAGGAAAGGAAGGGAAGGAGGGAGGAAGGGAGGGAGGAAGAAAGTGAGGAATGGAGGGAGGAGAAAAGGAGGGAGGGAGGGAGAGAAGAAGGGAGGGAGGGAGGAAGAAGGAGGAAGGGAGGAAAGGAGGAAGGCAGGAAGGGAGGGAGGGAGGAAGAAAGGAAGGAAGAAAAGGAGGAAGGGAGAAGGGAGGAATGGAGGGAGGAGAAAAGGAGGAAGGGAGGAAGGGAGGAGAAAAGGAGGAAGGAAGGGAGGGAGGAAGGGAGGAAGGAAGGAAGGAAAGAAGAAAGTAAGAAAGGAAGGAAAGAAGAGGGAAGGCACAGGATTCAACTCGCAGTTGAGACTTGTAACTTAGGAACCTGAAACTAGGGTTCTAGCCCACCTTTGCTCTGGGACCTTGGCACATATCATTCTTTTCCTTCTTTTGTTCTTTGATAGCTGTAATTTCACTTCCCAAGGTGATGTGAAGATCAAATAAGACAGATAAGAGCACTTTTAAATCAAGTGCTATAGTTATTGTTAGTTCCATTTGAAGGAAGATTTGAAGTTCAACTCTAGTTTGCTTAGTACTCTGCAAGTCGCAAATATCAAAAATGTTCCCAGTTAGATTATAGAAAATGTTCTCAATTTAATTATAAATCACTTAATTGTTCCAGGGAATGGTAATCAGTCAACAAACATAAAACATTTTTACATTCGTTTATTTGTTTTACATATGCCCTTAAGGTCTCTGTGGGAGACATTATTGTCCATTCATACGTGAGCCTTTAGTTTAAGAATTATCTCCCTTCAGTCCTTTTCAAGCAAAAAATACTTCCCAAAACAACCTGACAGAATGACAATCTTTTCTCCCATTTGACCCCTCCCCTCGTTCTTTCTTTCTTTTTTTTTTTTTTTAATTCACCAACCGTATAGAGACAGCACTGGAATGTTTACTAAATATTCTTTCCAGCAGAACAATTTTTTTTTTGTGATACTGGGGTTTGAACTCAGGGCTTTGCACTTACTAAATTGGCACTCTACCACTTGAGCTATATCCCCAGCCCTAGTAGAACAATTTTTGACATTACTATAATTAATGATTGCCCAAGATGATGGAACCATGTACCAGACTCACTTGAATTTAATATGCAAATTTACCAATGTACAGTGAAACACACAATAATCATGCAGAACATTCACATCAGTCTAACACTGTATTCTCCTTTGGTAGGAGAGACCAGCTGCAGTCATGAGAAGGTAATCTCTGGGTGCTGTTTTTTTGGGTTAGCTTTTTTGTTATTGCTGTTTATTTATTTATTTGAGACAGGGTCTCACTATGTAGCAAAGGCTGGCTTTGAACTTGAGATCCTCTTGCCTCAACTTCCCTTGTGCTTACACTTTTAGATGGTGCTGGATAAAATGAAGACATATCCTCTCAGGCCTAGAAATAAAAGTCT